GTGTTTAAAATTTTAACAGTGGAATGCAATGCACAAGTTTCGAATTATGTAGGGCTACTGCAGTTGGATGTACATACATCATAAAGTCGTTATACATTCCGTTGAGAAAATACAGTGTCTTTCCATCAGAAATCTCTGATCATAAAATCATTTAACCTAGTTCTAACCGACGTTCATTTATATAAAATTTAATTAGGCTAATAATACCACCGATTGATATTTTAGAACAAGCTAGTTATCTGAAGTATGGAAAATCAATGCAAATGATGCATTTCAAAGCACAGATTTAATCAGATTTCTTCATCTATAATGCAATGCACCCACCAGTGATCCGACCGGTGTCTTTATTACACTGAATGTAAACTCTTAACGAAATGAGAAATTATTGGCATTAGAGAGCGAAGAAGTCCTAGCATTTAGATGGAGTCATGTCCTCTGAGCTGGATGGTTGGTCCGTGGAGCTTTCGTCGTTCTTTTGAACGACATAATCGGCACAAACTTCAGGTAGAAGTCTTTTTCTACCTGAGTCCCAGCACTTCCTGCTTTTTTGTGGCAAACGTGAAGTGCATCTATTCCATTCCATACCAACACTAACAATGTTTTCAGATGTATTTGAGTTGTTAGTACCTCACTGATCATCCAGTAACTACCAGTATTCCCGTAGTATGGAAACACACAACAATCGATTCTATGTATTGCGAAAGGTGGGAATAGCTACAACATAGTGAATAGGAATTTTTCATGTTCGATCAACAGAAGGAAGAATATTCCTTGTCAAATCAGACTGATTACTTATTATTATCAGTGTCACATTACTGACCAGTCACATTCCTCGTTCACTGTGTATTTTTAGTTTGACAGTTTCTAGGACAAGTAGGAAAAATTCAACATCTATTCTTATCACGTTCAACGCAAATGAAAATCACATACTGAGTGCTTGAGAATATTTGAGAAAACAAACTGGAGCATTGAAATTGGAGTTGTTTGCAAAATATACCAGGATTGAATGACAGATGGGTGCATACTACAGACGTTTGGATGACAATGCACTATTCGCTTCCTTTATCGGACTGTCAATACTTCTAACAATCAAACAGAATCGTATTTAAATATGAAAACTGAAGTGTAAGATTTGTAGAACATGATCATCATGGAACAATGATATATTTATTAATAGAAAACTAGAAATAACACATCGGTTGTTCCATCATCATACATTCTAAAGCAGTGAAGCAATCAGGTCCAGTATGATTCCACCCTGTTCAGATTTCGCCTTCTCAATTTTGGTCGCTTTGTTGGTTATATTTGTCGACGGCTTCTTCACGCCCTTTCCTACTGCTCTTCCTAAATGAAAACGAAAATAATAATTAACGAATTCACAAAATGCAATGATAAAATATTTTGATGAGCACGATTCATAAAACGAAAACACTGGTCAGATGAGAGAAAATGATATAATCAAAATGTAATAATGAAATCTGAGACAAATTGAGTTGTGTGAATGATACCTGGTCTTGAATGCTTTCTACTTGGTTTGGAAATCTTCTCTGATGCTACACTTTGTGATGTAGTGGCATTATCTGGAAGGAACGAATTAGTGTAAATTCACACATGGTGATTCACCTTTTGTGTCAGCTTCGATCTCGTTTAGTATCGTGTATAAACACATGCAAATGAAAAATACCTATTATTTGCAAATAGTGTTATGGATTCAATCACTTCTCACCTTGATTGCGTTCATTGTTGGTGTACAATTATGACGACTGTTCAACGTCATATGTGTGTATTTATACACTTGAATGCAGTGAAGTGAGAACATGAATGAATGGATTGGAGTAGATTTGCACGTGTCCATTGATTTGTTGGCAATAAACTGTCACCTGTCACAATAATATGATCATGTGTTGCAATCGTTTCCTACTGTGGTCGAAATATGGGAATGTATTTTTCGTAGTAGGTGACAAAGTGGAGAAGTGAGTAGATTGGAAATTTCAGATAGGGACTGACATTAATGTTCTTAATTGAGCTTCGTCTATAAACGTGTCACTGATATGAAATAGCAAAATACATCATTCGAGTTTCGTTTGATATTTGTGGTGAGTGATCATGTGGTGACTATGATGCTACATTGCAAAGTTACTGAATCGTTAGTCGGATGACGAAAATGTGATCCATCACAGATAAGATGATCTTCACATTGACATCCTGAATTAAGTCAGTTAACTGAAGTCTAGGAAATCAATGCGAGTGATGCATTTCGAAGCACAGACTCAATCAGATTTCTTCTTCTTCTTCATCTTCCATAATCAAATTTACCTACCAGTAATCCAACCGGTGTCTCCACTACACTTGAATGTAAACTCTGAACAAGATGAGGACAAATTGCTGGTATTGAAGTGCATAATATTTCACTTGTTGCAACCCTTGTGGTTAGCATGTTGTTCAACGGTTGTGTTCACTAACTGTTGTATTCAATTTCAAACTATGTAGGTATCAACTCACACTCATTGTTCTCACTGAATACAGACACGCCACGATGAATCTTGATCTGATAATTCATCACTTGCCGTTATAATGTCAATTCACAATTTACCGATGTGGTTTCTGATGATTTCTAAATCACTGAATAACTTTTCCACTGAGTCACAACTACGTGAAACATCTACAAATGTCACTTTTCAGTGCAGAACTTGCATTCATGTATGAAAATTCTAATTCCGCTCTAGAATGTCAAATATTTTCTCTACCTATAGAAGTGATGTATGTGGAAATGCTGACTGAAATATCTCTAGTGAATGTGATTTTGTTATCAGTCAGCATAATTTAAGGAACCAATTTATTTAGTTTACATCAATTTTGACATTCATTATTATTCACATACTGATGAATTGAAATACAGATATTCAGGACTCGATAGTGAATTCTGAATTTGTATTGATGTGTTGTTATCATATTTGAGCGTACTGCACGCTCTCAAAATCAATCGAAGTAAATGAGATTTTTCGAGACAATCTTGACATCCTGAATCGTAACTCAATCAGACAGCATCATAACATAAATTTAGAGAGACCAAATTCATTTTGTGTTGACTTGAATGATGTATTTCGCTATTAGATATCAGTGACACGTTAATAGTCGAAGTACAAAACAGAATATGAGTATATGACAAACTATCCGATTAAGATTCATCGTAGACTATCTGTATTCAGTGAGAACAATGAGTGTGAGTTGATACCTACATAGTTTGAAATTGAATATAACAGTTAGTGAATACAACGATTTTTTTATTATATTTTTGTCTTATCGTTTTCTTTTATGTAACCAGAATTTTGGTTTCGTGAATCGTGTTTATCAAAATAGTTTACCATTGCATTTTGTGAATTCGTTAATAATTATTTTCTTTTTCATTTAAGAAGATCAGTAGAAACGGTTAAGTAGAAGCCGTCGTCTAATCTATCATAAAAATCGATTGAATTTGAGAGTTGGATCATACTAGACCGTATCGGTGCACTGCTTTAAGATGTATGATGAAGAACTAATTGATGTGTAATTTGCTTTATTCGAATAATGAAAGCATCGTCTTTCCATGAATTTGATATTATTATTCAGAGGTTTTGATAATGAATATAGCTGAAATTTTCAAAAATGTTTTCTTTGATTATTTTCACGAATCAATTCAAATTCACTTTTAAAGATACTTGTTTTTTTGTCTGATCTTGTGTCAAGATTTTTTGAGTATTATATCTTTTTTCAGTCTATTATGTGTTTTCATCCTGTGGCCGTTGATATTTTCTGTATATTTGCCTTTATTACTTCTGATTAGTGACTCTATACCTTAACCTGTTTAAACTAATCTCTCATATTTAACTAAATTAAACACTTGTCTTATAGCAACTAATCAAATATTATACAATATCATGTAAGTGATATAGATTTTAAAGTGTAGTGTTTTACCTAAAAATCATTTCCAATATTTTGTTTAGCCATCTGTTGAATCTTTGAACTTAAATAAACGAAATGGACTTTTATTTTGTAACAATATATATTTATTAAGAATTGACTGTTTTCATGATAACTATTTGTATCACATAGATTAGTAACACATTACCTTTTATCCATGTAATCCATCGTACAGAATATTCAAATTATGTTGACAAATCAAACCTCTACAAAGATATACACAATGATACACTACTTTTCATACTTTAACAATTCAAGTCATTGGAATTTATATACTTACTTTAAGATATCATATTTACTTCACTGCTACTATTCAACTGTATTTTCATATTATTATGTTACACTTCAATACTAATAAAGTTGTGCATTACTAATGTAAAACCATTCCCTTCCCCCAAGTAAAAGGAAAATATATCCATTTTTATTCTTCTACTAGTCAATTATTATTTTAGCCTTATTCAATTTCATTAAAGTTTATTAATTTCGCATTAAAGTATCATATTTTAGTACATTCAATCATTTTTTTTGGCATGTTTACTTTGATTATAATGATTATTAAAACTTTATTAATTAGTAATAATAATAGTAATAGTAATAATAATAATAAGAATGACTTTATTTTTGTATTATTCATTAAACATTATATTACTATTCAAATAGGAAAAAAAAATAAAATAAAAAAATAATAATAATTTCCATTCCCTAATTTTAATCAATTTATTGATAAAGTTACAAAAAAATTTTTTTTCTTTTAAACATCCCTTTCATCTTAATTTTTTAGAGGAGAGAAAAAGATTTTTTTGTTTTTTTTAAAAGTGGCAAATATAAAAATGTATTTAATACTGTATATAAGAAATACTACAATTAAAGTGCATAATTATAATAAATATTGCATAGGAAAATGATTATTTATTTATATTAAGTGCATTACTAATAATATATGACTATATATATATTATGTAATGTATATCTTCCAAGTGCATTTATTTTATACAAACATGGTATATTTTCTCGTTATTTAGTAAAGTACCATAAAAAAAATGACCTGGATTCGTGTATATTTTCTAATTATTTTATTATATTCATCAACCTATTGTAAAAATGATTATAATTCTTATGAAAATGATGAAGAAGAAGATACGAAACGATTCAATTATTTAGATCATTCATTAAAAGAAGAAATGATGAATGGGGATGGTTCATATTATGGTTCATATGGTAATGAAGAACAACAATCGGAAAATAATGAACAAGGATCTGAGAATACAGAAAACAATTACAATACAAAATATGAAAATGAAGGAGAAGAAACAGAAAATGGTTCAGGTAATTCTGATTCTAATGAATCTGATAAACAGCCTGATAATGATAATTATGGTTCAACTTATCAAAATGATTATGAATCAAATTCTAATAATGAGGATAATAATAGTGATAATGGTGATGAGGACACTGGTAATAATAATGGTGATGATGATAATGGTAATAGCAATGGTAATGATAATGATGAAAACAGTTATACTAGAAAAAGATATGTGAAAGACATGTTGAAAAAGAGACAAAACAAACAAAACGGAAAGAAATACTATCCTGATGAATCAGATGACAATAGTAATAATGATGATTACAATAGACCAAATCGTAACAATCGTAACGATAATAATAATGGTGAGGTGAATTCTAATGACTACAATGAATATAAAAGTAAAACGAAAAGAGGACTACGAAAAAATAAATATAGAAGAGAATCAGATGAAACAGACAACACTGATGGTAATAATGATGATTCATACAGAAAATATCCATCAAGTAATACACGAGATAAATATCCATCAAAGAAAAAAAGACCTAATGGTAAACGTTACGAATCAAATAACAATGGTGATGATGATAATGATGAGGGTAAAAATAGAGAAAACAATGATAATTATAGGAAAAAACCTAAAAAACCAACTAGACGAAGGAAGAAATACACAACGAGTAATGATGATAATGGTAATGAGGATAATGATGATGGAGAAAATGAAAATCGAAAGAAATATCAGCCGGCCGACAAGCGGAAAAAAGGGAGTTCAAAGAGAAATATCTATAGACGTAAAAACTACGACTCAGATACCGAGGAGGATGCTCCACAGAAGAGAAAACGTAAAAAGAATTCTAATAAACGTAAATATGATAATGACAATGGAAAAGATGATGGTAATGATGATACTTATTAGTAAGAAAGTGACAGCAGACAATAATTAATCAGATATCATAATAACAGATTTAGTATTTAAAATGATCTTATCAAAATGACAAGTAATTATTTCCTGTTTTTTGTTGTTGTTGTTGTTGTTGTTGTTGATAAGATGAAGTGGGGAGAACAGTGTTACAAAGACCTTTTACTCAAGGACATATTTAATTCAATATACTCTGAACAAATTAATAAAACTATTATGTAACAATATTCATTAACTGTTGTACACTTTTTAATTTTACCCAGTAATAATGTTATAAATTTTAGATAGGAGAAAAGCAATAGATTACAATAATAATAATAGTAATAATAATGATAATAATAATTACTCGTCTGTTTTGTTTTAGTAGGAGTTAACACTTAGTACTACCTCATCTTCATTTCGTACTGCTTAACAATACACACTTAAGCTAAGTAAATATCAGTATATTTAGGTAACAAGTACTCCACTCACAATTTTCTAGATCATTATACAGGTATACATGAACTGTATTCGTGCTTTAAATGTTCTTGTGTACGTAAATAAATAAGTTTCAGGTTGTATTTGACTAGAAATACGCACTTCAAAGGTTATTTATTTATTGTTTCTATTAGTCATTCACTTTACAGACATTTAAAAGCTCTAATTAAAAGGAAGAGTTACGATTACAATAATTATTCAAATGTTAGAAATAGTATAAAGGAGAATTTCAATGGTATAATTTGAATAGACTATTTGATAAGTACATACTTTCTGATAAAACAAAAAGTAATGCGATACATTTGGAAACGATTTGAAATGCCTGACATGTTTTTTGGAAATTAAAAAACGATGAGTGTAAACACAAAGAACTTCATGGGTTTTCTATGCGGATGGTTAAACAGTGTTTGTCTGCTTTTTTTCTAAAACCTAATCTTAACTAGAACGTGATAATTTTTAACATTCCATTCGAAATATTTGCTGAATTAACTTAAATCATAGCCATCATAAATATTATCTGCTAGTGGTTATTTATTCTCTACAGAAGTGGCTTATACTAAGTCATGAAACGTCAGAAAATCTAATGTTTCTAGTCATTGGAATATTACAAATATATTAATTACTTATCTACTAGAGGGGTTTTGCTTTAAATCTTAAAGCAATCAGGAAATAAACAAAGATGTACAGCGGCTAGCAGTGGAATCCAGGACGCGTGTTTCGTCCCATTTGGGACTCGTCAACTGGATGTACCTGCAGGACATAATTCTATCCATCAACAGCGACAAGAAGAAACTTAAAAAAGACTAGTATGTTACAAATATTTACAGTTAAATTGCTTAGTTCATGTATACATTATCTAAAAATCAATAAATCATGACTAAGAAGTTACATCAGAGTAGATTACATAAAAAGAGTATTGTGTAGTGTGAATAAAGTGAAATTGTTAGTTGTCATTATGTTTCTAGATAGGTATAAATTTGATATCAGCCATTATATTTAGTCGATCAAACAAAACGTTCTAAAAAATATTAGAAAAATGTACTTTAATTTGCTGAAAAACCCTGAAATCCTGAATTTTAATCTAAGCTGCGTTCCCAGTGATAGTGTAACAATGTTGAGAGCAGCGAATGAACTTCTCACTTCATAAAACTATCTACATTTATTCTAGATTTCTTTAGTTGAACGATTATTGCTAATTATTATCAGAAAGGGGTTTTTGTGGATATTTTAGTATTTTACTAATTCAGATCATGAGTCAATTGAAGTTAGACCACCATAGAAAACCTGGAAGCATTAGACAGCCATTTCGTTCTATTGTTGAGCTCCTCAGCAGTGCGCTTCCACGATCCCGGTTCGTAGGATTCGAACCCAGCGCCTATCGATCTTGCGCAAACGCTTAACATCTAGACCATTGAGCGGGTCGGCATCCAACGGTGTTAATGACAAACTTCAACTAGTCCATTAAATTGTGCAATCGTCCACCATTGTCGTCAGTGAGTTACTATGTCACGATAAGTAAAATATATCATGTATTACGATTACTAGTTTGCCTAAGGTTACTCGAATGTATCAGTCATAATTGGATTGTTAGAGATCATGCGTATTCTGACGACAGATATAAAGAAACTGTCTGAACCTTAGCGCTAACCAGTCTTACAGGATCCATTTCTTTTATTACTTACAAAACATTTTCTTTATATTTGGAATTCTGTGCTTTATGAATTAACAATGCAAAAGTAAAAACGAAACAAAAAAACCACTGTAAGTATAGACTGTTTATTACTTGTGTTTTACATAACTTTGTGTCAGTATAACATGAAAATCGACAGTTGTGTCACTGTATATTTTGCACTTGTAATTCGTAATATTTTACAGAGTTTATTGATTAAATTTAATAAAATAATGATATTGATACTTTGTAAAAATAAAAAAATCTTTTCTACACCCCCTACATTTTTAGTGTGAATCGTATAACATTGATTAAGGGAAGTCCATCTATCAAAAAAAAAAAAAAGAAAAGAAAAACAAACGATATACTAGATGGTGTATTAAGTAATATAAAACTTTTTCGGTATGAATAACAGAAGATATAACTGTCAAGTTATGAAGCGGACCTTTTTAACCATTAGTAAAATTTTTAGTTTAACAGTTGATACATAAAAAGAAAACAATTTAGTCTAATTTATTTCATTCACTTAATATTGTTTACTTGAATCTTCACATTGATGTTTAGCACTGAAATTAATCAGTCTCTTAACGGCATATGTGCATACTATGCGTATTGCCTCGATATTGTATTCATTTACAAGCATTCTAAGCAAAAATGGATAATGACTCGCGTTTCGTTCTATTTGTGGCTCGTCAGTTGAATGTATCTGGATTTCATATTGCATAATTTACGAATGAAAGAGAAACCTGAGGATAATATTTTGACATCGTATTTGTATACAAAATTCAATGTAAATTACTGTATGCTCTTGATTATAATCACTTTCATAAATCTATATGTGTATATACAGTCAAATTTAGAGACAAACAAGCGTATACTTGACTTCATAAATGAACAATACAATTAAATATTCCATATTTATTAGCTCATACAATAGTCTAGATGGAGTAAGCGTTTCCTAGTCCGTCTGAAAATAATAAATAATCACAAAGGCTGGTTATAAAACTCCAGACCATATGTTTATAACATTGTAGTTTAATAACTTGCTGAACGCTGCTAGACAAGAACGTCTTACGTTTGACTCAGTATTAGGCCTTGGTTAACGGTATAATGGTTCTCAAAACTAGAAGCAGATAAATTCACTATGATATTATGTTAGTTGACTTATCAGTTTGTGAAAATCTGGAAAACTTACTGATTGAAGTTCTAAGAAAGAAGTAACTACCTACGACACGCAAATATTTGTACACTAGTCAGTGTCTACTATATTATGGATTCCTTTGTTAAAGTTAGGACCTATAAACAAGCAAAAGTAATTCATTATAAAATCATCATTTTAAACAAACTAACAATTCTTGATTATGTAGATTTAAACCATCTGTCAAAGTAAGGAAGCTTTTACTTTAAACCACAATTATGAGCTCCGATTCAATTTGTAAAACACTTATATTGTGGAGCCAGAAGAGATTTGACCATCAAAATCATCCACCTGAGCTACAAATCTTCTCCACCACCTCAATTTGACTACCTTCTCGGAACTTGTACTAAAACAACGAAGGCAAATACTACATACCAAGCAAACATATTTTTCATACTTTATTACATTAAACCGACAGAGACACAATGACGTAACCACAAAATAAACTTATTCCAAAATCAGTCTTAGATTTACTGGTAATCTTAGGTTTACAATTTAGTATATGATTATTTGCAGATAATTTCATCCTATTCATTTTTTTGTCTGTACTCGTCATGTATAAAATCTTGTGATATCCCTTCTACAAGTATCAAAGATCGCTTTCCTTTTTCAACGATTTCATTCACTTCGATGATTATACACAACTAAGGCGAAATTCTACATTAAAACGAAAAGATACATTTCTTCCTTTCTTAGTTTTAATATTTAACTTTTTATACTACTTATTAATTATAAAGTAGGTTCATTCCACTACTACGAATTGAATGTCACACTGCTTGTCAACTAGGTGCTTATCATAAATACATTTTACAGCTTCATACTTTCTTCTAAATGCAAATAAAACATGGATTTCTGGATTCAGAGAATGTTACTTAATAACGCTACGTGATCACTTATGTGATAACTTGACATCTCTAAGTATTTATTTACAAATCAAGCTTAATAAATATAAATCCATATAAGGTAGATTAAATGAATTCACTCATCTGTAGTTTATTCAAGGGATGAAGTGCATCAACTTTTCTATATATTTAAATAAGTTCTTTCTCACTAATAGCTAGAAATTCATGCAAAACCTATCTTTGAAAAATTCGAATTCACATGTCGACCATATCACCGAGTTTTCAACAATGAGTTCTACTTTACTGAGGTTGTAGTCGATAACAACAAACGTGTCTTTGATATGACGGAAACCTACCTTCCAATTCTGCTAAAAATAACTCATATGAAATGGAACAATAGCGAAATCTTGTAGAGTCTAGTTCCATGTCAAGCCCATATGGGTTAAGTCGATAATTACATACAAGGATAGCTGGGATGCATATTTAAATAACTCAATAACAATCAGAAACGATAAAACCAGTCTTATGTAGGGCGACTAAAATCTTAAATCTATTTCACCGATTTCTTCATAATATGCATTAGTGAAGATAAACGAACATTGATTGCATACAATTAAGATCAAGAATTTCAATAATGATTTGTTCTCTTGATTTTTCGATACTCTATGTGAACTAAAAATTTACATCTAGAGGTATTATACGTTACTACATTGAATTCATATCCTTCATTTAATTGTTTACAAACTTCTAATTTAAAATTGTGGTAATTCAATACTGATTACTTATTCTGATTCGTATCATGAAATGTAAC